TGAAGAGAGGCAGCAGGATGTTCTGGTTAGGAGTGTTGGCCTGGGAGTTGGAAGATCCAGGCTACAGCCCCCAGTGACCTTGGAACAGTCACTGTCTCTCTCTGATCTTTTTTGCTGGGTAGTTGTGAAGATAAAGTGGGAAGAAGAGGAGCCATGTACTGTATTTTTCCGTTTATAAGACACTACTTTTTCCCTAAAATCATTACATTAAAAATGGAGGGGCGTCTTTTACACGGAAGTAAGCTGAGATAGCTGAGGAGAGAACAAAATGGCACATACCTTGCCTCTGTAAACAAGTTTCAGTCATGAGGCTTAGCTTCCTACAGTCGGGAGACTTCGTTTCCTCCAATCACGAGCCTTATGGAACCGATGTCAGCTGATCCTGAACAAACCAATTGGAACACACCTCCTTGGAGGTGGAGTCTGTAGGTTCAGATTCGACAGAGACTCAAAATATCAGATGTTCTGAGACCAAAGGCTGAATCCTCAAAGCCAAGTTTTCTTAATTTGGGGATTAGAAAATTAGTGGGGGGGTGTCTTATAAATGAGGCCATGTTATAAGCGGAAGAATGCGGTATATTACCTTGAGCTCACTGGGAAAATGGTAGAATGTTGATATTGATGTAACTAATGAATAATTTATGGTGTAGTGTTACATCTAAATACACCCACTGTATTCTAACTGTTCAACTCTAGTTTAGTGTGAGCAGTGTGCTAAGCAGTGTATGGAACATAATAGAGGCCTGTAGCCATGGGGGAATCAGCTTGACTAAGAATAAACCACCATTTCTCATAATCTTCAAATTGTAATCTTTACCCAGGCCCGAGACTTTTGTCAAAAACATATATTATTGATATTAATCTTGATCACTGAGATATAATGGAGGGGGGGTTGTGCTGTGCAAAGAAAACCAGGTGACCCCTTCCCAACCTGATTGTCATGATAGATGGTTTATTCATTGGGATGGCAGAAAGCAATGCCCAGTCAGCTGCAGGAAATCAGGCCATATCCCAGCTGTTTATGATGCATGCGTGTTTTCTGTCACTTCTCTAGATATGTTCATCCTTGTTTCTTACAGTTGTACAATTTTATTTGTAAGTTGAGGTATTTGTTCCGGCTCACTGACTTAGTCAAAACCCAAATGACTCTAGAAAATTCCAGTTCATCCTTTTTGACTGTTGGATAGTTGGAATGTTTGTCATAATTTCAGGGAAACATAATCTTTAAGACTTGATGCAAATGTTTGTGCCCATGTTGGAATTTTAAAATGGAAGTGGTTGCAGTATCTGGACTTTAAATTGTTTGTCCCATTTTAAACACATGTTGTTTTTCGATTCGCAGAGTGAACATTAAAAAAAAACGAAAACTGAATTAAACTGACAAAGAAAAAGCAAAACAAAAACAGAGCGAAAAATTGTAAATATAGTAATGCTAGCACTCACTATTGTTTCTGTCCATGAAGTTTTCTTGGCAAAGATACTGGAGTGGCTTGCCATTTCCTGCTCCAGTTGGACCACGTTTAGTCAGAACTCTCCACTATGACCTGTCTGTCTTGGGTGTCCCTGCACAGCATAGCCCATAGCTTCTCTGAATTGATGAGATGGATGGACAGTGTCTGTGGCGTCCACCCTCATGCCCCTTTGCTTGACCTTCAAGCCCCAGAGCACACGAAGGCAAACACTCTCTTCTTTTACACTTGCTGCCACCAGGGTGATCTCTAAATCACCATTTGCTTCAGAAAGATTCAGGTCCACACTTCAAGCACTTTTAAATAAAACTTTGGTTTATTGATTACATAGATTCATAAATCTCTTCAGTAGCTAATCACATCTAAATTTCCCAAACTACACACTCTATTACTCTGTCTGGCTTTTCTCTCCTGCCAGACTCTTCCATTTCTCTCACTGACGCTATCTGACTTAAACTGCCCCCTGACTCTCTGACCCCGCCTCTTATAGCATCTCTTGGCTCCGCCTCTCAACAACATGAATATTCATAAACAATTACATAAACAATAAACAATAATACAACAAGAACCATAGATCTAATAAATGGAGAACGCTACAGTGTCATTGATGCTATCAACATGAATTTGACCCAACTCCAGGAGGCAGTGGAAGACAGGAGGGCCTGGTGTGCTCTGGTCCATGGGGTCACGAAGAGTCGGACAAGACCTAACGACTAAACAACAACAACAGTAGTACTCACTATAAACCATGATTATAAATTTATGATATAGTTTTGCAACATATTACACATATAAATCAGTGTAGGCCTTCCAGATGTCTAGACAAATGTCCTCATAAAATTGACATCTACATGATCCTTCTTCAAATGCAGCTAGTGTTAACAGATCCTCTAACCATTAGCTGATTATGAATGTTTCTCCTTCCAGGCTTGAAATATAAGGTTCTTAGCCCCCATAAGGACTTATAAAGTCCAGTTTCATTGATCTGAGTACAGGAATATAATTTAAGAGAACATGAATATCCAGAAATACCAAAGATTTCCCAAATATTGCATTAATATTAGTGACAACTTCAATCCAAATAAATATGTTACTGGACAAGCCCAGATCAATGATGCATTTCCAATATTATATCTTCAGCTTCTGTCAGAACTTGGCAGTCCTTTTCTAAACAACTGCTGTGGAGTCTAGTAGGCTCTAAATGCTATTTTTTGTTGAGCAATCTCAATTTCAAATCTAAAGAAACATCCTGTAAAGATTCTAATGCAGTACACTTTTCCATTGCTTAGATTGTATTTTACCTTCTAATTCGGCATTCTATATTTTAAGCTTTTGAATAGCTATCTGGGATTGGACTTGATAGCCTTACAGGCCCCTTCCAATTCAATTATTCTATGAAAGATCCATTAAGCATTTATATATACGGTTACTGGCTAGAATTTCTACCTGCACTGTTCTAGAAATTGTGTTGCCACCTTCTGTTTGCTATAATAGGGGGAGTATGATAAAAGTATCTGAACCGTGTTTGTAGTTCTCCACTGCCCACAAAAAAAAAATCACCTCTATGTCTGAATGCAAGTTACATCGAGGAGATGGGAGGGCAGAATAAAGTGTCTTCACCCACTGCACTGGTTCCCAGACAAAATCAGTAGCCACATCAAAATAAAACATGTGGTAAAAGTGATGGTTATGAATAGTGTAAGATTTCTCATAGTTCTTCTAGTACAATACACATTTTGCCCAATGAGAAATTATTAGTATGGTCAAATAGCTATCCAGGCTGATACTCATGCTTGTAATAAAAAATCAACGTTCTCTGGAGACACAAGCAAAGAAAAGTGAAAATCTAGTATTTTAAGGATCCTCAGTGCTCTTAACTGAAGTATTTCCTCCTTTCAACTGTGGCCTGTACTAAAGGAGCATTTAGAGAATTAGGCTGAACATGAACAGTTTTCAACATGTATTTAAATGCTATACTAAAATGCTATATTGAAAGGGGGGCTTCACCCTCCATTAAGATGTCTACATCACAAAGAAAATAAACCTTAGTGCTAAGCCCCTGGGGCTTACATGTCTGTCTTCCATGCAAAGAAGTACCTTTGATAGGGTCTATCCATTTGAAACCTTGTCTTCTACTACTGTTTCAGACACAAGACTCCCAAAGGAAAAGTTTTCTAAAAGAAGTTTAAACTCTTTCTTAAGAATAGTGTAATTTTTATTCAGACAGCATTTAAATATTCCATGGCAAAGGAGCAACTTAAGAACAATGAAGTTTCAGATAAATTCAAAATAGTTAAAAACAGCACTAGAGAAATAGTCCAGTGTGACATAGAATGTATGCAAGAACACTGCTATAACAGAACTGTAAAAAATTTAGCTTAGATTTCATCATACTTAAAAAGCATGATGCCATTAGAAGGCCCAGTGTCTTGTTTTTTTCTTTCCGGCCCTCCCTCAGCATTAGGCTCCTCGGTCGCCCCTCCTGGCTAGATCGGGTGATACGAGTAGATCTAGGGGGAAGGAGGCATTCCACCAAGTATCGAGGTCCGAAACCATTTAGGGCTTTGTATGTAATCATTAAAACTTTGAAATCAATGCATAATTGAACGGGCAGGCAATGCAAAGTGGGAGAGAGATGTTGGTGTTTCCTCACCCCACTGAGAAGTCCGGCTGCCGCATTCTGCACCATTTGAAGTTTCTCCATCAATCTCAAATGTAGCCCCACGTAGAGCGCATTACAGTGGTCTAATCTCAACATTACGAGTGCGTGGACCAGAGTGGTGAGCGTCCCGACATCAAGATAAGGACGCAGCTGGGCAGTCCGCCAAAGATGGAAATTGGTGGAGTGGGCCACTGACACTACTTCGGTTTCCATGGTGAGCGCCAGGTCCAGATGGATCCTCAAACTGCGAAACTCACTCTTTGCAGTGAGAGTCATCCCCCCAAAGGAGAGAGAGTTTCCTAAACTGCTGATGGTGGGTCCACCTACCCTCAGGACCTCCATCTTGTCCCAGTTCAGCCTCAGCCCATTTTCCTGCATCCTTTGCAGTACAGACTCCAAGCAGCACTGAAGGGACAGAACAGCATCCACTGTAGTTGGGAAAAAAGGAGATGTAGAGCTGGAAACTCCTCTCACTGGAGTTTCCGCATTAGCATTTATTTGCTTTTATACCAATATGATACAGCAAATCATAAAGTGTATTATAATTGAAATACCAGGCTCGTTAAGCGAGGCACCACTATATTATAATTGAAATACCACTGCAGATTGATAGATATTGCTTTATCATGTGTAATGTAATGTTATTGTGATAAAAGAGCAATGCAAATGTCTGGTCTAATTCATCAGTTCTGTTGGTTACCATCACTTAGTTAAAGTGCATGACTTTGCCATTGTCGTTTGTTCCCTGGCATATAAATTGTGTTAATGCTCCCAGAGCTTTTAAAGATGTGTTCTGTCTGTAATGCGTGTTGACATATTATGACGTCCAAAGAGTTTTGAAATGTAACTATGGTTCTTGTTTTTTCTAGGTTAAAATTGGAAGAAAAAAAGAATACATTAGTTCAAAAGCTTGAAGAGACAAGTAAGGAAACAACTAAGTTGCATTTGCAGCTGAAAAGGTGAGACTACAATGTAATTTTTGCAAAAGAAGGATAGTGATTTCTCCAGCATAATTATGAATATTAACTTGGTTTGACCAGTATTGTTTTGTTTATGCTAGAAATGTGTTAACTGGAAGGATTTACTTTTCATTTCACAAAAATATAGTATAACTCCTGTTTGACTCCTTGCAGCCTAAGTCTCAAAGCCCTGATTCTGCATATAACAAAGCTGGACCAAGAGTAACAGCTGTCAACAGCGATGTCTATGGAAGTGGGCAATAGGAAGAGTTGAACATACTAGCAAATACGTTTTAGTGAGAACAAAATGTTGTGCATGCAGTAGTTGACCCAACCATAGCCTGTTACTTATTTTCTGACTGCATTTGGTCTTAGATTCCAAATATTATCAGAATCTTGTTCTGCAGGTATAGCTATCCAGAACATGAATAGCTTCTGAGACTGGCTTTTCTTGTTGATCTTAGCTGTTCTTTGGAATGAGCAATTCTTCATTCACCTTTATAGGAATTCACTTTAATGTGAATCGATTCATTCATAGAGTATTCCAATCAACATCTGCTGAAATAAAAGAAACTATAATCCAACTAACACAAACCTAACTCCCCTTGCAACCAGCAGGATTTACAAAACATTTGCTCCACACACTTGAAAAGAGTGTGAAGCAGCATGCAGGTAATGTCAATGTGTGGTGGAACTGTGGGAAAATACAAGATTGTAGAAATCCAGGAGTATAGTAAAATTAATACAGATACCTTATTTGATCCTAAATAGCCTTACTATCCATTAGTTATACTTAAATGTCAAGTGAGAAAATGCATAGCACCCTTTTCAGGATGGAGAGACAAATTAGAACAAAAAATTGGAAAACAAATGGCATTTTGGTATTAGTATGTTTGAATATAATCATTGCAGATAAACTATGCAGATTAGAGCTAAGAAATGGGAACTGGAATGGATTATTAATCTTTTGGTACCAGTTTGTTCAATAAATTGTCAAATTAAGTAACTTATCAGAGACAAAGAAAATACGAGATCTCTGAATTCACATGGCAAACTATGGAAACGCACACACTCAGACAATCTTTAAGAAGCAGCTAATTTATAGTTTAAAAATTGACTAATGGACTAATTTGTTCTATAATAACAAAAATGTCATATATAAAAATGGGTTGTACAGGTTTTTTTTTAAAAGGCCATGTAACTTTTCTAAAAAATTATGACTATTGTTTTGTCACTCTTCATCTTTGGTTACACATAATGCTTTATGTGTTCATGTTCTAAATCTTTCACCAGCAGAAAGGAACAAGTACCACAAGGACAAGAATAGCCCCCCTAAAATTAATAGATTAAAAGTGAAAGGGAATCCTCACAATGTTGCAAACTAGTAAATATCATGTGAAAGACTATTTTGTAAAAAAAAAACATTTTTGTTGACAAAAATATGGACAAAATAATCTAGAAATGAAGCCAGTTATTCTATAATTGCTAGTAAATATTTGGTACATCCTTACTCAATGGTCATAAATTTGCTATAGTTATTAGTAAACTGGCCTCCAAAATTCTGTCAAGATGCTATGAACAGGCTGTTTTGCAAAATTAGTGCAGCTTTATTTTTTACAGATGTCATTGTATTACATCTACTTGATAATGAAATGAGATTACATCTTCATGTATTGTCTTTTATTGTAGTCTGAGACTAATTGGATATATATGTATACGATTTATCTGAGCTGAATGCTGAATCTTTTTCTCCCCAGTCTCTCCGCCAGTACATTATCTGTGTCTTCAGGGAGCAGCTTGGGGTCCCTGGCGTCCAGTCGAGGGTCTCTGAACACATCCAGTAGGGGATCACTGAATTCCCTTAGCTCTACGGATATGTACTATAACCAAGGTGATCAACCTACAGACTTGGATTATCAGTATAAACTGGAGTTTTTATTACAAGAAAAATGTGGTTACATTCCTTCAGGCCCTATCACCACAATTCATGAAAATGAAGTAGTCAGTTCCCATGGGAAAGTGAGATATAGTGATTCTTCTGCCTCTTCGTGTACAAGTCATGTACCCAAATTAACTGAACCCCCAAAATCTGTGGCATCACTGTCTTCAAGGTCCTCCCTTTCTTCCCTATCCCCTCCTGGATCACCTTTGGTTTTAGAAGGAGCATTCTCAGTGCCTTCACAAAACTCTACATTGCACCATCTTACCACAGACTTTGAGGACTGTGATTTATCCAATGACTTTGCCAGCATTAATCTTTGTGGCAACCAAATGCTGTTGGACTCTGAAGCTAGAGTATCTTCTCAGTCACTTGTGGATGACAAAGACGTTAATGAAAACATTAGCCAGACTGTGTCTCCTTCAAGAAATACAGGTAAAAATGTTGTAAGGTCAAGCCTATATGTTGTAGTTAAGTATGGATATATCTCACTTTTTATACTTACAAACTGTTTTTTTCTGTGTCTGCATGGATTTTACTTTTACATCCCCAGTACAAATAAATATTGCTAGGAATGACACGCAGTATTTTAAGAGATGATCTGCCACTGCCAGCACAGGATTGCAAGCAGCTGAGCACAATTCCTGGCAGGATTGGACTATGAGTTCAGATGGAATGCTGAGGCAAATCTTGTAGAAAAAGGAGGCTGCAGAGTTGGTGTACAGAGTTGGTGCGGAGACAGAGTCTGCTGCAGGCTAGGAAGAAGAGCTGATTCTTAAGAACAGAGGTGGCCAAAATGTGGCCTCCACCTCTTTTCGGACTGCAAATCTCAGTATTCCTTACAGTTGCCTGTGTAGGCTAAGATTAATTGGAATTACAGTCCAACAGTATCTTAGAGGACCACTGTTTGCTGCCCTTGCTTAAGAGTTTGAAGAAGGCGTGTAGGGTGGCAACCATAAGGAATGCTGAGATTTGCAATATGTGGCAATAATGACAGAGACAGTTGGGAGGAAAGATGGGAGGGGATACCAGAAGACAAGTGGATAAGCTGACCCACAGAGGCAGGCAGGGCAGTGGCCCAAACCTGAGCTTACAAGTATTTACAGCCAGGGCATGTCAGCAAAACCAGGAGGTTGCCCTGGGCAGAAGGGAACTGCTGGGAACTAAGTTGATGACCACACCTCCTTACCCTCCAGTCTTCAGCAATTTGCTAAAAGCTTCACCAGGACATAGATAGGGAGGTTTAAGGATCATCTGAAATTATTTATAGTGTCACATGTGTGGTATACACCCTCCAGTCTTCAGCAATTTGCTAAAAGGTTCACCAGGACATAGATAGGGAGGTTCAAGGGTCATCTGAAATTATTCATTCTTAAGAAAGAACGTAAAATTTCTCACATCTTTATATTTTGCTTAGTTTTCCTGGTTATCCAAGTGGGGGTTTTCAGACCTCTGTGCAACCTCACCTATTCATGTTGTCTTCCCTGGATCCATGGGTCTTTGGGCCAAGACCTTTTTTTTTCAGTGCTTCGAAAAAGCTATCCTGATGCCTACTTGCTTGCTTGAGACAAAGCTAAAACTGCTCGGAAGCACTTCCCTGATGTTGTTTGTTAAACTGACTGAACAAACAAGCCGTCTGAAATTTCCATGCAGCCAACCATTCAGACCTTAACTGCCATCCATTTGCTGCAAATAGGACTGTATTTATGTTTAAAAGACCAAAATGATTTGTCACTTTTGAATCCACAGAGAAGGTGTTTCTTTTTGAAATCCTGCCTCCTAGAGATGAAGAAAGAGTGAGAAAAGAACAATTGTTGGTACAATTAGTGCATCACCTACTAAGATATAGGCTGTTTGATGACTCCTATTGCTACCTCCTTGTGCTTCACCTGTACTTTTCTGTAAGAACCTTGATTCTGTCAAATCTCTGCTGAAGTTAGTTGTTCAAAGCCTTCCTTTCCCCTACTCATAGCTTTCCTACATACAGTACCGCTGCCATCTTCTGGTTAAGATGTTCAATTTCACACTCATTTTCATTCTGGTTAGAAACCATAGAGATTGTCTAAATAGATGTAATGCTGACTGACCTTCAGCCCAGCCCAGAACAGTTACCATACAGTGCCTTTCATTTCAACCCAAGGAAACTGATGAAAGGATGATGACGACGACGACGACGACAATAATAATAATAATAATAATAATAATAATAATAATAATAATAATAATAATAATAACCAAGCACAAACAGTACTGACCAGCGATTAAAACAGATTAAGGAACGCTAAATGTGAAAAGTCTGGTGCCTAACTGATAGCTTAATAGGCATCAGGAAAGTCTTTCTGGGACAATATTTCCAGAAATATAGTGCTGACGTTAGGACAGCTCTCCCTTCACTTTCATTCTGTCTTCAGTTTTGGTCACTAAAGCATGCATAGCAGGATCTCCCTGAATAATCTAAACACCTGGGTAAACTGAGAAGAGAGGTTCTTTCAGGTACCCAAGTCCTAAGCTATGCTTTGATGGTAAGCATCAATATCTTTAATTGTGCCGTGAAATGGAACTTAGTAAAGACAAGGAGAGTTGCTATCTAGAGTAGGTTGATTTCGCCAGGTACTGGATTAACGTGGTAACTTAAGCACAGCTCTTGGCATAGCCATTTGTTTAAAAGAATGCTGGTTGCAGACAAAGTGGATTTGTGACATGCAATATCGATAGCCAGCTGTCATTGCCCAAGCCGGGCTCCCAAAGCTGCCTGTCTACCATCTGCTCGGTTGCCCGAGTTAAGGGGAAAAAATTCTATTTGTAATACAGCTGACAGTATGTTGGTGCTTAACTCAGGCTTAACACACTTGGCTGAGCTCACTTGATATGAAATAGTACATTCTCTAGCTTATCTCAAACTTGCCAAAAGTGTAAGGGCTGCAGATGGTCAAAGGAAAATACTTTCAAGATAAACTGAGAAGCTTTTTATTTTAATTTGTCCTGCTGATGGGTAGGGGGAGTGGGTCGTATGCAACTGCTATGCATAATATGAGACATTTCTTGGCAAGCTCTAATAGCTCGTTTCCAGGACTAAAGGTATCTAACAACCTTTCTTTTGTGTGTGTGTGTGCACGTGCATGTGCGCAAGGGAAGTTTGAAATCTGCACAGCTTCAATCCTGTCTCAGATGTGGTAATCTGATGTATTTGTCAGAACCAGAATAACCTTTATATTTTAAACATGAAAAACTTTCCACTTTAGTAGTGGAGGAAGTCCTTTAGAGGGGGGTAAGATTGTCTCTAGTCATTGCATGAAAGCCAAATGTAACCTTAATGAGGTGAGGAAAACTTTAACCTCAATATCCCCTTGTTCTTCTCTGTTTGTGCTCTAGAATATGCTATTTGCTTGCCAATATTCCAGAATGTTATTCCTCCCTTTCCCAGTTCCCAGAATCATCCAGCCTTTCCTTCAAATCCTATTTCCGTGCAAATATGCAAACAAAGTTGATAAATGTTATAGCCCAGTGAGTAGCGAACCAGAAGCTGAGAGTTCAGATCCCCACTGTTCCTCCTGGGAGAAGAAACAGCCTTTATAATCTTGAGCAGACTGCAGAGCACCAAAGCTCTCCCAGAAAAAAGGACTGGCCAACCACTTCTGAGTACACTCTACCCAGAAAACTGGCAACAGAGAAGCATACTGTGCACCACATCCCATTAGTGGACAGGGCCCCCTACTGCTGTGGCCGACTTGATTGTCCATGTATGTATGTATGTATGTATGTATGTATGTATGTATGTAT